CGCATGTGTGCACCTAATGCACACTGCGTGCGCATGAACAACCATGCAAAAATCCTTACCTGCTATGTTACTTCGGGGGAGTAATACACCTGAGGAGCAGCAATCCGCTCTTCCACACTGATCAGCTGGGACGATAAAGGTCAGTACAGCGCAGGCAGGTGGGCCCACATAATCATCGCAGCATACTGGTTTGGTCCCAGCTGATCTTCGGAGCTAGGGGTTCGCCCAAACTGGTCCGAGCCAGCAGAATCCCACCCCTGGGGCTACCACAAAGAAGAAAAGGTCAACCTATTCTCCAAAGCACCGGAAGGCAAGACAAGAAGCAATGGATGGAAACCTAGTCAAGGAAAGAAACAACCTAGAACTAAGAAATGTCACAAGAGTTAGAACAATTAATCAGTGGAATGGCTTCCAGAAGTTGTGAGTGCTCCATCACTGGAGGGTTTAAGAAGAGCTTGGACAACCACTTGTCTAAAATGGTATAAGATCTCCTGCTTAAGCAGAAGGTTGGACTAGAAGCCCCTTCCAACTGTTATTCTGTTAATCAGAATAGTTTTGAGCTGCAAGGCATATACATACACTCATTTAACAGTGGCAATGTGAGCGTACAGTTGGTAGAACAAGTGCGGGGCAGATCATCATGGAGAAAAATCTATGTGACTGCTAGGAGCAGATGACTTAAAGATACACAATCAGTCAAAACTGTCAAGAGTAATTTAATCTGCAGATCACCAGGGATGAGCAAAGGACAGGAACCAATAAAAACTCGACTCACCCTCATGTTGCAGAATGGCCTTCCCCAACGCCAAGATAAGGGCAAAAAGGCACCAGATTTGCAAACCTCTCAGGTTCCTGCTCTCTGCACAATGCACTACAGGTCCACAGAGATTTGTAAGAGGAGGAGAATTCTCCTCCTCTTTAGAGCTCTTCAGGCAGCTGATAGGCAGACCGGTTCCCAAGCCTCACCAGAATGATGAAATGGAAAACGAAACTTGTCCACTCTCCAAAACACACACCACCCCCTTGTTATCAGCTAAAAGGATTAAGCAAAAGAAAAAAGAAAAAGGAATCCTCCTGTTGGCTGAAAATCTGCTTGTGAAATCTCTTTACAAATAAGAAATAACTGAATTGTTTGGGAAGAGCCAGTAAACTTTCTCGCGTTTCTTTGGGAATTTAACTCAGGCGTGTGTGAACGCGCCCCCCTGCCTCGTATTTCTTTAGCAGTTCCCGCAATGAGCGTCCCCGTCCAAAGCGGGTAAGGAAATACATCCCGTGTTAATAAATTCAGAATTTTTTTGGGGTCGTCTTCTAAAGGTCGTGCATTACTATGGGAGCTCCCCGACGCCATTTTACTAGGAACCGATACGCAACTAAACTAAATCCTAAGACACCGATTTCGCCAGAAGAAAGGAAAACGCCTGTCTAACCAAATGAAATGGCGGAGTTGGGGAGGTAAATTGCGCCGCTTCCCAGGACTTTGGAAGGGAAACGATCACCCTCAGCCTTTTTATTCGACTCTTCTTCGACAGGGACCCTGGTTTCCCCCTTCTTTAGCTGATGGAACCGCTCATATCCAAAGGAACAAAGCCGCAGGCTAGGGAAGGAAAGATGCGGGGAAAGCGGGGAAAGTAAAGTGGAAAGCGAAACAGATTTGAGTCTGTCACCTCACCTGACAAGCGGCGCGAAACAGGAGCTACCAGACTGCGCCCCAACAACGCCAGTAGGGTAGCCCTTCTCGGCTTCTCTTCGACAGAACTTTCCGAAACGACGTATGCAGAACGCTTCGGATGCGGAACGTCTCGCGGCCAATGGCGAGGAGCCGGATCAGATCGGCGCAGAGTCTGTAGGGTTAGAGTGACGCCCCTCGCCGCTTTTAACAAAATGGACTTATTTCTTTCAATAAAGGAGAATATTTGTAGCTCAGGGTTGAAATGAGGGGTCATTGGTGTTCTCTGAGCTTGGTTGTTTCCTTGGAGATGTTTCATTACCAAAACTAGGTAACATCAGTTACTTTCTTAAATTTCTAAGTCGCCTCAAGAGTATCTGGGCGGTATGCAACGATAATTACAAATCTGTCAAGATGAAATATATATTAAACAACATTAGCCTCCCAACTCGTAGAGTGACTCCCAGCCACGTGCAACGTTCAAATAAGCAATGCCTGCTTTTTAGGATTACATCAAACCCACTACCAGAAGTCATCAATATTGTTCCCAGTTGCAATCTGATCAAGGAAGCATTTCCCCCAAATTAGCACTAGAATTAATGGTGCTATGTATCAGAAGCTAGTGTGGCTGAAAACTGAGCACATTTAGTAACTAAAAATGCTTCCTGAATGTTGGAGAATGGAAAAGCAGAAGCAGCTGATGAGAATGGAGAATCCTGCTGCAACCCACAATGGGAACACAGTTGTCATTCCAGCAAGCAATTACCTATTATGTGTAATGTAATCTCTGAAGAAAAATTTTGTAGGCAGTTTCCCCCGTTTTCTGCCTTCAATTTGAGTTTGGAGGAGGTGGACATCATGAGGAGTACAATAATGAGAAGTACAATAATTCCCAAGAGCTAAATCTGGATAGCCTTGAGAGCCTTGTATGTCCATCAACTTTTGTCAAATATCCTATTTCCAACCCAGACAGCTTTTCCAGCAATTCAGACTGACATGGGAAAAATATTCAGTTAATGTTCAAAATATTCAAACCCAGAACTGGCAGTTTAATTAAATCAACAGAGACTGGATATGGACAATTTGGTTTTTACGCCAGTCCTACTGTGATTAAATCTTTGGAAAGATTGTTTGCTTTGACCCAGCTCTCTCTTCCAATAAAACAGACAGAAATAGATGTGGTGTGTTTTGTTTTTTCTTTCCTGTCTAGATTGGGGAAAAGGGGCCTATTAAAGAGTTTGGACCAATACTTCTAAAAGAAAATTTCCAAAACAACTGCAGAAATATTACACCATAAATGTCATTCCATTGTGTTTAATGTCAAAGTACATTCACAGAACTACCCATAAGTTGGAACTATCACCTCTGACAGCATGTATTTAATTCAGTGTTCATTTAGAGCATATTTTCCACAGCAGACTGCCCTTCACAAGACTGTATCCCAAGTAAAGAGTTATGGTACTACCACAGAATGTGTCAGATAACCATTCTGGATTAAGATTACATGAAATTCAACATCAATATTGTTTCACTGTTGAAATCTGATCAAGGAAGCATTTCCTCCTAATTAACACTAGAATTAATTAGTAGTGCCATGTATGTGAGCTAGCATGGCTGAAATAGGGACAGAATAAAAGGCAGTTCTGAATTTTTCATTTGGCTCATATCTGACCAATTTTCCAGATGTTCAAAACATTTATGTGCTATTTAAGGGAAGAAAAGTGAAGATTCTTGCGTAGCATTTTTCAAGCTGTTTCTCAGAAGAGGAAAGAGCTTAGGCCTCCCTCAGAACAAACATTCAGAAAGCTGAGGATTATGAACTACATATAATGCAGATGAGATGTCCTGACAGCAAGAGGCTTCTTTAAGTAACTTGTTAACGTTTTTCACCTCAGAAACATTAGGATGCATGGATTTCAACTCTTACATTGGGAGTAGAAATCTGTATCTTAGTTGGTGAGGTTCTGAAACAGTGGGCCAGAGGCTAATTGTATCTTAGGAGAAACCACATTTTGATTCAGGAGGAAAGAATTCTCTGTAAGCCAATTGAAAATAGAGTCGGTTAAACAGGTTCTAGGAACAACAGCAATTATATCTGTACAGGCCAAATATCACATTTGTTTCTATTGCACAGTGTATGTGCTAAAAGTCAGATCAGTGAAAGGGTGGTGGTGATATGGTAATTGGACTCTATGGGTAAAAAGCAATCTCATTGAGGTTAGTTTCATCTCCAAGTTGATCTATTTCTTTGTTGAACTGAGCAAAGATGCTCATTTCTTGTTCAATAGCTTGGACTCGATCCTCAATAGAAGACATAGTGTTCTGGAGCTGATGCACAAGATTCTTTAACGTATCCTGGTTGGTCAACACCATACGCAGAGCTTCTTGATTCTTCAGAATAGCATCTACATAAGAGAAGACACATAACTATGACCATTCTTCCAAGAAGTCGCTTGTACCTAGTTCTTTCCTATTCCCCTATACGCCATTTTAGCCTAATTTAATCCAATACTATACAAAAATTTTAAAGCAATCTGACAGATAATTTTGGGAGTTGTAGCCCCAGCATATCTGGACAGTTATCAGTTTGGGAAAGGTAGATTTCATCTCAGTTGAGGGGAATTCTTAGCAAATTTACACAACCGTGTAAGTCCTGGCTAGTGAACCATAGTTTACCGACTTCCTAACTGTTGCTGGATTCACAAGCCACATCTCAGCCCAGGATATGTAAACCAGCTTATGACTCAGCAAGAATCCAAGAAAAGTGGTAAAAAATATGACAAAAAATATGAACTTGAGGGCAAAAAAACCCACAATGAAACCTGCAAAACAATTCCATGATGCTGTGATTTTCAAAAATCCTCTAGTGCAGGGGTGTCAAACTCGTGTAGTCACAGTGGTGTCATGTGACATATCAAGACTTTTTTCCCATTCTCCAAACTGGGTGGGGGTGTGGCCAGTGCGTGACGCATCTGGCCCACAGGGCCGGGAGTTTGACAGCCCTGCTCTAGTGTATCCCTGGTTTTAGTAAAGATAAATATTTAAAAATTTAAAAACCATGAATAATACTATTAAAACTTTTACACTTATCTTTTGGGGTTTTAGAGGCATAGCATTTTTTCTTAGATCATTATGACTAAAAAAACTTTCCTAAAACACAAATCCATTATATATTAGAACAGCACAAATGAAATATAGTACAGGTAAGCACAACAGAACCAGAATTTCTGTTGTTAAGCAAGGCAGCTGTTAAGTGTGCTGCACCCAATTTTACCTTCTTTTTTTTGCCATGGTTGTAAACCATTTAGAGGGCTGTACAGCACTATGAGGTGGTATGTAAATCTACTATTGCAATTGCATACATATTATATATTAAAATTGTTATTAATATATTGACTATATAGTGTAGAGTATATGCTCATATCTTTGTGTAGTGTGATTGTGTACTCTTTGTGTAGAGCACAGGTGTCAAACTCGCTATGTCATATTGCCATCATGTGACGTTTCATGACATTTTCCCCATACAGAGCTGGGGTGGGCATGGCCTATGTGTGACACATCTGGCCCATGGGCCACCAGTTTGACACCCCTGGTGTAGAGTGTACACTCCATCTACACAAAGATTTGTTTTCTAGGAAAAGCACACTTCCTGAATCTGATGCTTCCTTCCAATGCCCAGGTGAGACTAGGATATCAGACTAGAGAACAGACTGAGAAAGAATCAGGATGCACACAAACTCAAACCTCCAACTTATTGTTCAGTGGAATCTCGTCACTTACTATGCATGGCTTCTAGGTACCACTGGCAACTGCTTGGCTGCATATCAGGGGTAGCTTTCACTGGTGATGCCCTCGAGTAGAGGGAAGGCAGCAGTAGTTGATTTTGTTGGGCCATCTCATTCAGTAATTTTTGATTGTCACTGCCTTTAGCAAACACAATTTAACAAGATATTTGTCTTCATTTAACTGGAACCAGTTTCCTTTTACCAAGTTTTGGTATATTACAAATTACTTTTTTTCATGAGCCTCCCCCCCCCCCATTTGCCACCTGGAAATTCAACTGTGGATTTTCTTAATGGGCAATTTGATTCGTGGCCTATCTGAATCACAGCTGAGGTAAACTGTTTCTGAGCTTACCATGGGCTTGGAATACACCTTTATATTGGATAAGCTCAGGCTGAATGTATTCAGCTTTACTGTATACACCTGGGAAATATCAGATGATGTTTAATTCAATTAGCCCAGCTTTCCAGGCTCATGCAACCTATGGAAGTTAATAATACATCTTGAGTTTGCATGACACAAGAATGAAACTGACTAATTTCTACTTTGCTGCCAGTGTGTCTTTCCCCCATCCTATCTTTTGGAGGTATAAAATTAAAAGCAAAATTTCAGGGGTTAAAGCTAAATATAGAGAATAAGAAACACCAACCAGGAGGGCATCCAGTTGAGGAGGACCAATATACAAACGGGCAAGTTGAGGATCAGCCTTTACAAAAATAACTTCTCTTCACCCCCTACTCACTCTCCTGTCCTCCCATAATTATAAAACTGTCCCTCAGATCATTTGCTCATGTGCAGAGTTCCTCTCTCTCACTACAAAGCCACCCCAGATTACCCTTACCTATCTACGAATAAACCACACCTAGTTCCTAACACCCTTCCCCGTCTGCTCCTATTTTAAACCTATTTTCTATAAGTTTAAGTATCATAGTTTCCTTCTCTTCGCTGCAAATAACGACCTCCCTTTTATCCATTAAAAAAAACAACAGTTCCCAGACATCCGCCTCACCCAATTCTACTCGCAAATCTTCTTTCGGAGCCATTGCACTTTCCACCGGCTTCGGCCCCACCTCCTGCAACAATTCCACTCGCCGCCCTTCCATCTTTACTAACGCAGAGATCCGACCGGCAACCAGCGTCGCTAACGGCTCGAACATTTATACGCCACTCAGATGCATTCATTCTATTACCGCTACTTGTGGATTCCACTCAGGTCCGATTTGACTTGTAACCAATCAGGTTGCAGAAGCCTTCTCCCACCCAAGTTTGTGAGAAATTCGGTTTCAATCCAGGGCTGAGTACCCTTTCTTCTTGTTTTTTTTAGTTGATTATACAGAGACGTGAAGCGTTAGGAAATAATATGCTAACTTACTCAGGGTCGGGAAGAGAAATAATGTTGAGGCGTTTTAAAAAGTAAAGCATTTATTATGGCCTAGGCTTTCCTAGAATTAGAAAAAATGGAAAACTTCAGGAATAGTGCCTTTCCGATTAACAACTTTTTACTAAAAGGCATTAATACTTCTTTTTCATCATAGACTAACATGGCTGCCTTATCATGTTTTAAACGAAGGAAAGGTAGGCGCGATTATTTTCATTTCAATATCTTCTCAGTCCACCATTTTTCCATACTTCGGCTACAGTGCTATCACGCAGGAAACCCCCCCCCCCCCCCCCCCCCCCCCCTTGAAAACCCCCCCTGAAGGAATAGTTCGACGATGCCTTGTTCAGTTCGACTGTTCAGCAGGTGAAGCCTTTCATCAATTCTGCAGATAAAACCAATTACTAGAAAAGCGCCAAATTTGGATACATCAGTTTTTCACAACTTGGAATTCTTGAAGTTGGAGTCAATGGCCATAATTTTGAAGTCAAGATCACATTTGGGGGGCGGAGGTTAGAGATCTAACACATCTGGAAAGCATGATGTAAAAATACTAAGTCCAGCCAAAGCAACTAAAACAAATTAAACTACTGATATTTTTAATTCCAGTTGTGGTTTCATTCTTTATTGTGGTCCACAGGCTTCAACAATAGTTAATATTATAGTATAATTAAGTTTTTACACAAGTCTTTTACTTGAATTCCAGATGGTGAGATTATTGTTTTGTGATGTCTCTCTGCTGCAGGCATGCATATAGTTATATCTATTTGATGCAAATTTTGAAGTTCCAGATTTGTCAAATAATCTCTTGCAGTGAATCCTGCAGTTCATATATGTTTGTCATATTGTTTCAGCATCATGTTTGAAGGTGGGGAATAAGATGATCATTAGGAACTGATGGATAAACCAAAGAATATCCCAACTAGGTGGATAATATTGATTGGCAGGGTTCCCACAACACACCAGACTAAAATGGAATTGGATAGTTCAAGGTGTTGCAGGAACCCACTCCTTGCCTTAGCGTGATATATCAGACCATGATAATATGATTTGTTCGGGAATCCCTACAATTATATTTTATTTTAAATTCAAATAAAAGATTAAGAGGATTGTGGGAATGTAGTGTCAGACTTTGGACTAGGCAAAAGTAAATACAGTTTTTTTTTTAAATGGTAAGTCTTCAGGATAACAAGCTTTAATTTCCATTGGGAACCGAGACAAAAAGACAGTTAACAAACAACAATCATCTGATGATTCTGCTGTTGAAATGGGATTTGAACTTAAATCACTTGGGTGAAAAAATAAATTCCAACTTTCTACTCTATCTGGTGCTACCAGTTTTCTCCAAGTGAGTGTTCTATGTTTAAAACAAAACATATTTACTTTGAAATAAACGCAAGTGAGTTCCACAGACTTTAATGCCAAATAACCATCAATAGGACTGCAGCTGAAATGTCTTTACAATCCCATGCAAAATTCATTACTTTTAAATTGACTTCTGAGTCCCCTAAAATATTATTCTGTGTTGGAAATTAGGAACATTTATAAATTGGTATTTGTCGCAACAGTTTTTATGTTTGATTCCACTCTCTCCTCTCAATAAAATTCATTCATTCAATTTCTATAGCCACCCAGCTCAGTTAATGACTTGGGGTGGTTTACAATTCAAAAAATATATTACAATCAAAATTTTAAAAACATTAAAAAAAACAATAGAAACATACAACATAAATATATATAGCAGCTGAGATACTTGGCCCATTGGCAATATAGCCAGGAAGTGGTGCCCTTAACACATTTAATACCCCGGTTCTGAGGAACATTGGCAGGATTTGGGGGCTTATGAAAGACTGACAGGGTTGGGGCCATTTTAATCTCCAAAGGGAAAATGTTCCAACAGAACAGGGGCCACTGTAGGGAAAAAAAACCCATCTTCTAGTCCCCATCAGCCAACACTCTTTGGTTGACAGGATCTGCAGCATGCCCATTTTGCTCAACCTGGTGGAACAGGTAGAAACTCTTTGAAAAAGGTACTCCGGTATCCAGCAATGTAGGCCTTTAAAGCTAATCACCAGCACCTTGAATCCCAAAACAGTGGCAATCAATGCAGCTCACTCAAAAGTGGTGTTATGCGTGCCATGGATCTGGCACCATTTCCTACCCATGCAACCACATTCTGCACCAGTTGAAGTTTCTGCGTAATCTTCAGAGGCACTCCATGTGGAATGTTAAAGAGTAATCTAAATGAGAAGTTACAAGAACTTGTGTTACTGTGAGCAGGGCCTCCTGGTCCAGGTATGGGAACAATGGTGCATCATCTGAAAGTATGCAATGACCGTTAGCCACGGCTGCCACTTGTTGTTTGAGCAGGTGCCATGAGTCCATAAAGACCCCCAAATTACAGAGTGGTTGCAACCCCAGACAGTAAAAGGAATGTGGGCATGGAAAATATCTCAGAAGGGATCCTTCCTAATTCCTTGTGCAGTAAATGCAGGGGAGAAATATATTTTCCGACTTGTGCGATTCCGTTAATGTAACCTCACAATAAAGTAGAAGCAGTTCACTTCCTGCTTGGACTCCCTTGCAAGGCTGACGGCACCGTTCTCCGTCATTCTTGATGATAGCAATAGTTGATGGGATTTGAAACATCACTAAGGGCTCCCATTATTGATCTACAGTAAATTATCTTATCCAAGCTTGGCACTTTTGTCTTAGAACAAACCTCCATGAGTCTCAGCCAGCATAGCCAACAGCAGGGCCGGGATTCTATCTGTTCGGGCGAACCGGATGTTAAATTTTCTTCTGGTTCGCCGAACTGGTATTTCAACCAACTGGCTGGCCCCGCCCACCCCTCCCCTCCCGAGTGTTCATGCGATGCAGGTATGTGCAGAGGCTCTGGGAGGGGGGAAAAAACGGGCCTTCCGGAAGTCTGGAAATGGGCCTGTTTCTGGCTTCCAGAGGGCCTTCAGAGCCCGTGGGAGGGTGTTTTCACCCCCCCTTAGGTCCGTGGGAAGCCTCCGAACCCTTGGGAAAGCTAAAAACAGGGCCCCCCCCGGAAGTTCCGGTAGGCCACGCCCACCATGGCCACGCCCACCCAGCAACCAGGCAGCGAACCGGTTGCTGGGATTGTTGAATCCCACCCCTGGTCATCCGTCAGGATTGATAGGGACTTGTCAGTATAGCTGACTTGAGGTGATTCTCAGCGGCTTCTTGGGATCCCAAGCAGAAGTCTCTTCCCATCTAGAGATCAACTTTGGGGCAATCTGCTAGCAGCACAAATGCTGCCATGCAGAAGAGGAATCTGGTTTCAGATTGCCTTCCTTGCCTTGCAGTAAAATGCTACCAGAGAGAGGATACCGATTCTCAAGGCTCTCCGATTTACGCAGACGAAATGCCTCAAGTGTGTTTTCTGCAGCTTCTTCAGATTGTGTTGCAACATCAGGTAAACTTTGGATGCTTTAAGAAGGGTAGCTGGGGCAACCTACCTGTAAATTAAATTGATCCTCATGGATGTACACCACCATCCTATGCCTGTAGGCTTCCACTTAAATCATATTCATTAGGTAAAGAAGGCGCATATAGCTTTTGCTCAAATGGCTGCTGCCTGAAACTTTTCCCCACAAACTTATGGTAATGTTCAAATCATCAATAAAACTAGTAGCATTCTCTCAATAGAAGAGAATATCTGTAGCTCCGGGTTGAACTGAGTTGTTCTTGGTGTTCTTTGAGCTTGAGTGTTTGTTTGCAGACCTTTCATTATCCAACTATCACTGATGATGTTACCTGGTTGGGTTATGAAAGGTCCATAAGCAAGGACTAAGCTCAGAGATCGCCAAGGACTCTTAACAGCAGCATTCTACCACTTCAGAATGCAGGAGATCCAGGGATTATTGCAACTCTTGAGTATGCCTCACGTCAAAAGCTCCAGGCCCATGTAAAACCTCCCTCAGAAGAACACAAACATGGCTCCCTTCTCTTTTAGGACAGCAACTCTATTCTATTCCAGCCCACTGCAAACTAGCTCTTCTTGGCTCCAATGGGCCCAATGGGTTGAATGAGGAGAGAAGATAGTTGCTTCCTCCAACCCATTCCACCCCACGAAATTGCTTTGAGCAGCTAGGATGTTGGGGGAGGTGGTGGCCATCCCTCTTGTGGGTAGGGGGATGCCCATCTACAGCTGTTTTCCCCTAACCTCCATGGATCTGGGGGTAAGAATCCCTTCCCACCCCAGCCCTGCAGCCCTCCAGCTGAGACAGCATTGGGGAGGAAGCCCTGGAAGGGCAGTGGGGTCTCGGGCCAGGTGGGAGCAGCTGTAGGGAGGCTGTTCCTGTTCCCCTCGCTCCACCAGGAGGGCATGAGAGAAAGAGGAGGGTCAGGAACAACAGGAAGCAGTTCTTTGGGGTGCTTAGTCTTGGTCAAAACAGAGCTGCCCTTCTGGCCTTCAGGTTGTTCTTTGGGGAGCCTGTCTGCCGCATGAGTGTGCTGATGGCGGTTGAGTTGCGAGCTGCGGCTGAAACACTTCCCACACTCTGCGCACGGGTAGGGTTTCTCGCCTGTGTGCACCCTCAGGTGCCACTCCAGGTGGGAGACGAAGCCGAAGCTCTTCTCGCAGACGGTGCAGTCGTAGGGTTTCTCGCCGCGGTGGGCCCGCTGGTGCGTGAGCAGCTGTGCCGCGGCCGCGAATCGCTTCCCACACTCCTTGCACTTGTGAGGCTTTCCACCTGAGTGTGTCCGTTGGTGCTGCAGGAGCGTGGAGCTGACGCTGAAGCTCTTCCCACATTCACTGCACTGGTAGGGCTTCTCCCCCGTGTGGATTCTCCGGTGGCGGTCCAGGTGGGAACTGACGCTGAAGCTCTTCCCACATTCACCGCACTGGTAGGGCTTCTCCCCCGTGTGGATCCGCTGGTGTCTCTCCAGGTGGGAGCTCCAGCTGAAACTTTTCCCGCAGGCAGAGCACCGATAACGCTTGCTCCCAGGCACGTGGGATTTCTGGTGCTTGGCTAGCGAGGCCAGTTCCCCATAGGTTTTCCCACACTCGGTACACTTGTGGGGCCGGTCGGGAGCATGTACGCGCTGGTGCCTTTCCAAATGGGAGCTGACACTGAACGCTTTCCCACAGTCCCCACACCGAAAGGGCTTCTCTCCCGTGTGGGTCCGCTTGTGTTTGATCAGGGCCGAGCACCAGCTGAAGTTCTTCCCACACTCGGGACATTGATAGGGCCTCTCTCCGGTGTGGATCCGCTGGTGTTTCACCAAGGACGCACTCTGGCCAAACCCTTTCCCACAGTCGGAGCATTTAAAGGGCTTCTCGGTAGACACAGGCGGGGAGGGAGGAGGGAGGGGAGGCTGAGGGGCCACCCGCTTGCGGTTACATTCGGTGCATTTGGTGGGGTCCCTGCTCCGGGTTGGAGATGTCTGGAGGTGATGGAGGGTGGCCACACTGAGGTAGTAGCTTTTGCCACAATCTGTACACTGGTGTGGCTTCTCCCCCGTGTGGATTCTCTGGTGCCTATAAAGGTGGGAGCTGCGGCTGAAAAGCTTCCCACAGTCGGGGCACTGGTAGGGCCTTTCCCCCGTGTGGATCCGTTGGTGTCTCTCCAGGTGTGAGGTGAAGCTGAAACTTGTCCCGCAATCGGGGCACTCATAGGGCTTCTGGCCCAGATGTTTCCTCTGGTGAGCCACCAAGTTGGCCCCGAGCGTGAAGCCCTTCCCACAGTCCTCACACTGGTAGGGCTTGTCGTGGGCGTGAGTCCTCTGGTGCTGGACCAGGGTGGAGCTAACGCTGAAGCTCTTCCCACACTCTTTGCACTGATAAGGCTTCTCCCCGGTGTGGATACGCCGATGCCTCTCCAGGTGGGATCCGACACTGAAGGCCTTCCCACACTCCTTGCATTGGAACGGTTTCTCTCCGGTGTGGATCCGCTGGTGTCGTTCCAGGTGCGAGGTCCAGCTGAAGCTTTTCCCACACTCCTCACACTTGTATGGTTTGTTGCTTGCGTGGCCTTTCTGGTGGGAGGCCAGGGCCTCGGCCTCAGAGAAGCTTTTATCACACTGGTCACACTTGTGGGATCTTTTGTCCAGGTGCAGCCTCTGGTGCCGGAGAAGGTTGGACTTCTGGCTGAAGCTTTTGCCACACTCTGCACATTGGTGGTTCTTGCATGGTGGTGGTTTTCTATGGGACATCTCGGGATTGGAAGCAACCATGATCTGTGGGAGGGGTTTGTCTTGCTGCTCCTTTCCTTCGGTTAGGGAGCACCTCGGCCCAATCCCTGATGGTTGTTTCTCAGCCTCCATTGGATTCCTCTCTAGGACATTCCCCTTTTGCAGATTTGTTTTGCTAGGAATTACTTCCGGAGGAACAGGTTCATGCCTTCCTTCCAATTCTTCCCCTGAGGAGATAAATATTGCAGAGGTGACCTGAACCATGCATTCCATTAAATGGAAGGTTGCTAATAACATTATTTCAGCATGTATTTGTATTAAACATTTTATATATCCACCTTATATTCTATGTGTGTCAGCACCCAGCCTATGGTAAGCTGGTAATATGTTGGCAACAACTGTCTTGGTTTGCAAGACACACTTTTGATTTACAGATTTTAACTCCGGTAGTATATATATTCAGCCTTCCATCCTTCCAAGGTAGGTAAAATGAGGACCAGATTGTTGGGGGCAATATGCTGACTCTGTAAACCGCTTAGAGAGGGCTGTAAAATCACTGTGAAGTAGTTATATAAGTCTAAACGCTATTGCTATATATGAGCAAACCTGAGATAAAACAACCCTGTTGTTGCCTTTCTGACATATTAACAAAATTTACTAAAATTGACTGGTACAGGCTCATGTTGTAGATTTGGAGACTGAAAATTTGGTATTTTTTATAGCACTTCTTTCACTTATCTGAAGACAAGCTCTGCAAACCAAGCTTGCTCAAAATTTTGAAAACATTTTTATTACTCTTGATTAATTCTGTTCCTCTATTGTTCTTTTGGAATGTTCCATCTAATTGGCTAGCTGGGTATTTTAAGAGGCGATGAAATTCAATGTGGTAGACAAAAGCCTGTTCTATTGTTGAAGTCATTCAATTTATATAGTTTATATTCTGGTTGCTGCTTTTTCCTAACATGATGCTGAAAAGTCGTGAAGATAAATGTAATTATGCATAGCTGCTCTATCACACTATTCAGGGCTTCTGTACCAGAATCTAGCATGTATGGTGACGAACAAAACTTTCCCCCCATTACAGAGTGAAATTCCATCCCATGCAGGTAGTCCTCAACATATGACCATAATGGAGCCTGCCCATTATAGTTATATGTCATGACAATCATAAAACTATTTTATAACTTTTTTGCAGTGGTCACTAAATGAACACAGTGGTGGTAAATGCGAATCCATGGTTTTGCTGAAAACCGGAAGTGCTGGTTTTCAGCAAAACGGTTGTAAAATGTGGTCACATGACTCCAAACAGCCGTCAATGCAGCCATGTTGTTGAATGCTCAAAGTACAGTCATGTGACCAGAGGAAGGGCCTGACCATTGGAACTCGGGTTCTAGGTCACAAGGGATTCTTTTCAGGTAGTTCATAGCTTCAAACAGTTGCTACACAACCAGTCAGTCGTAAGTTGTGGACTTCCTGTATATTTAAAAAAATAAAACAAACCACAATTCTCACCTGGATTGATCTGAGTTGGCATTGTCCTTTCCTCACATCCCTGAAGTTCTGGAATCCATGAATCTTCCCGATCCATCCAGGAGAGCAGATCAGATTTAGAAAGTGGAAATCCTGTTGGCCAAGGAAAACCTTTCAATTCAGGTAGTCCTCGACCACAACCGAGCTCAACATTTCTGTTGCTAAGTGAAACGTTTGTTAAGTGAGTTTTGCCCTGTTTTACGACCTTTCTCGCTACAGTTCTTAAGTGAATCACTGCAGTTGTTTTAGTGCCACAGTTGTTAAGTGCATCTGGATTCCCCATTGACTTGGCTTGTCTGAAGGTCAAAAAAGGGGATCACTGCAACCATCATAAATACAAGCCAGTGGTCAAAAGTGTCCAAACTTTGAACAGTGATCGAGGGGATGCTGCAACATAACTGTCAGGATTCCAGCCATTGCTCTAATCAAATCATGATTCTCGAGCCAACCTTCAAAAAACTTCAAAGGATTCATTAGAGCATGTTCACAGGCTGGGTGTCATCATTCACACTTTCTCAGGCTATGTGGCAGCGTGGAACATGGCTTACAAAGCTGACAACGTTCTCCAATTAAATACAGTATATTCACGGGCAAAAACTCTGGTATTTTAGTTACCATCTTTTAAAGATAAGGTTTGGAATGTACTTTCGCTTTCAACTGCTCTTCCAGATTTCCTTCCTCCCCCCCCCCCCTTTTTCTTTTATGGCAACTACTAAAACAGGCATAGGAATGTTTTATGAGTTGACGGCAAGTGTGAAAAAAGGTCATATGTCACTTTTTGCAGTGCCTTTGTAACTTCGAATGGTCATTAAATAAACTGCTGTAAGTCAAGGACAGCCTGTCTGGGCTTACTCGAGTGAACCTTAGAGCAGTGTCCAGGGGTCATATGATTCCCTTTTTTGTTTGGGGTTCAGGAGCATAAAATCCACTAGTCTTACCTGATGCTAACCCTCTCCGGTGGGGCTCAGCTAGTGCAGTGATTCGAGGCAGGGTGATCGCCATCTCTTCTGCTAACAAGAAAAAGTGCAAAAGACCCCATTAAGATATTGGGCAGATTGACACTAGTGATGCCCTTTAAAGAAAATTTGTATAAATTATTTTATAGATGGCATATACCACCATCAAGATTGGCAGAAATGAATCCTAAACTTTCCCCTATGTGTTGGAAATGTAAAAAAGAAATAGGAACTTATTATCACTTATGGTGGATTTGCAAAGAGGCCCCAAAATACTGGCAAAATCTACATAAGTGGATAGAAGAAATGTGTGGAATTAAAATACAATATAGGCCTGAGTTCTTTCTGCTAGGAATTAACACTGGGAAATACGATAAAGAAACCCTGTATTTAATGATTCATGTAATTACTGCAGCAAGGTTGGCGTATGCACAGAATTGGAAAAATAAAGATATCCAAAACGAATTGGAAATATTGAAAAAAATTACAATGTGCGCAGAAATGGATAAATTAACAAAAGTACTAAAAATAAGGAAGATTTGGATTATTATAAAACATGGGACAAATTTTATGGTTGGCTATAGATGAGGAAGATCAAGGAGAATAAGGAATTATTATATGTATATTTAAAGCGTATAGATGAAAATTATTTAATATTACTATTGGATTTAGTGATGTAATGACAATGATTGATGTTAGGGAAACTGTACCACGTTCAACTTTTTTATTGTATGAATTGTGTGTCTTTGTATTTGTTTAATAAAGAAAATGTTATATATAAAAAAAGATATTGGGCAGATTGGTTGGCACCATGTGGATGCAATGGGCCACCGATACAGTTGGGTCCCTGCTTTGGCTAAATTAACTAGTTGGAAAGGACCTTGTAGGTCATCTAGTCCAACCTCCTGTTCAAGCAGGAGACCCTACACCATTTCTGACAAGTGGCTGTCCAGTCTTTTCTTGAAAGCCTCCAGTGATGAAGTTCCCACAACTTCTGAAGGAAGCCATTCCACTGGTGTATTGTTCTGTCAGGAAATGTCTCCTTAGTTCTAGGTTGCTTCTCTCCATCCATTAGTTTCCACCCATTGCTTCTTGTCCTGCCCTCAGGTGCTTTTAGAGAACAGCTTGACTCCCTCTTCTTTGTGGCAGCCCCTGAGATATTGGAAGACTGCTATCATGTCTCCCCTGGTTCTTCTCTTCACTAGACTAGCCAAGCCCAGTTCCTGCAACCGTTCGTCGTATGTTTTAGCCTCCAGTCCCCTAATCAACTTGGTTGCTCTTCTCTGCACTCTTTCTAGAGTCTCAACATCTTTTTTTATAGTGTGGTGACCAAAACTGGATGCAGTATTGCATTTTGACCACTCTGGATAACAACCACTTGGTGTTCAGCATGCCGGGGAGGACCTCAATTGGTGAAGACTAAGTAACTTTATAATTGTGATTCAGTAGTGATCTGCCTTGCTCCAAAGGCAGAGAACAAGCTGTTCTGTGGAGATGAGACAAGTACACGCGGAAGAGAGGTCTATAAACCACGACACCTAAATCAAGTACAGTACACCTTACTAATCCCAAACGATGGACAATAACAACATCATCATTTCTTGCTTGTGTGTTTTCCAGAAGCATTATGGTTCAGCACACTGAGGACAGCAAGTAAGGCTCCCTGGATTTTGGGTTTGATCCAGTAGAGTGGTTCTTTAGCTCCACAAAATTAACCTAGATAAATTGATCCTTACCCAAAGAGATCAGAGTCTCGTAGTTCTCTTGCATGTCCCTCTGGCTGAGAAGTCTCCAATACGAGGAGGCCGTTCCACCTTGGAAGCCACACAGGCATCTGGAACAACAGCCCTCCATGCATCAAATTTGCTCTAGAATCCACCTTTTCAGGCTGCAGGTAGTCCTTGACTTAGGACCACAATTGGGACCACAATTTCAAAAGTGCTAAGTTAAAACAACTTCCATTGTTAAGTGAGTCACACCCAATTTTGCAATCTTTTTTTGCCACAGTTGTTAAGCGAATCACTGCAGTTGTTTAAGTGAACCATGCAGTTATTTATCTTCCCCCACTGACTTTGCTTGTCAGAAGCCAACTGGGAAGTTGCAAATGGTGATCACATGACACAAAACACACAGCATACCAGCTGCCAAGTGCCTGACTTTTCATCAAGTGCTTGTGGGAACAGTCACAAGTATGAGGACTGGTTGCAAGTCACATTTTTGGTGCTGCTGTAACTTCAAATGGTCGCTAAACATATAGTAGTTAAGTCAAGGACTACCTGTACTTCCAAAATCTGAAATTTAATTCCACACAGAAAGTGGTAAGATTGAGGAGCTTCAGGAAAATTAAACAAAGCAGAAAACTCTACTTTTGCCAATTATTTGAGGTTATCAAATGCTCGGCATCAAGATAAGACTGCAGATTGCAAAAGACACAGATCCCTTTTGGAAATCAGAATTAAAACAATCTGAATTTTAAAGAAAAAGGTCAAACCTTCAATAAGCGCAATACTATCCCACTGCAGACCCAAAAAGCAAAGGATGGCAGTTCTGGCATCCTAGACTTTTAATAGACTTTTTTTGTCCTCAACTCTAAACTATCCACTGGGCCAAATTTAAAGAAGACGCAAGGATAAAAACATGGTTGGGTAATTTCTGGTTCAATGTGCTGGGTAAACATTACATGACCTCTAATCTGTTTTCTGCTCCAGGCTGTCAACATTCCAATGTTTTTAGCTCTGTCTACACCATCCAGAATTTGTTTGATGGGCAGTTTATATAAATTGGTTTAATAAATAATAAAATAGGGCTTGTTTATGTCTGCCCAGCGTCACTGCTACCTCTGACCCCATTCCAATCTTATCTTAATATTTTAATATTTTAAGTGCAGGCAGTAGCTGCCCGAACAAAATCCAGGAAGGTCAACAAAACAGAGTCAGATGAATCCTTGGCTTGATTTGACATCTAAACAAATGAACTCTAAAACTACAGGTGCCTTTTTTGAAGCTGCACAACACTGACTCAGCTTCAGTTTAGAATCCATTATAGTCATCAAATCTTTTTTTTTTTCATATATTGTAGCTTTAAGTATTATTTCGTTAGCTATCTTAATCTAAATCAAAATGTGGTGTATACTATTATTGGAATGGTACTAACAATATAGTAATGTACTTGGTTCTTAGTTAAACAGCATTAAATTCAGCATATTGCTGCGGCGTCATAATCACCATTTTAAAGCCTGTTTTCACTTACCAGGACACAATAAAACTCAGAGAAAGTCAATTCTGTTACTCAACTAACACTGAACAGAAAGAAGACTAAAGGTCAAGGCTTCAAACTGATGCTAAAAAAAAATTGAAAAATATAATCGGGAGGGAAGGAATAGGAACTTATTATGAATGGACAGTATTTTTGCTGATCAACTCAACACCCAGGAGCAATTTGCAGGCTTTTGAGTTCTGCAGAACACTTCATCGGGCAGAATACAGGGCTCTGGAGGATTCCAAAGCTTGCACACTTTTCTTCCTCTGAGTTTGGTGATTTTCTTGCAGACGTTTCATTACCAAACTAGGTATCATCATCAGCGCACTCCTCCCTCTCCTGTCAGCCTGATGAAGCTACTGCTCTAATTTGTGCTAACGGAGGGTAGCTTTGACGCCGTGAGCTTCCAAAAAGGACCGGATGACCCAGGCTGCGGGGGCTGTTCAGATGTTAAATAACGGGCGCGTCTCCCTTTCGCCCCTGCCAGCCAGGCGCAGGGGATCAGCGCAGCACGGCAGGCGGGATTCGCCCTCCCCATCCCGGAAGCGCTGCCTGCACCGAGCCGCGACAGGTCCCCACCTGGGCCGGGTCAAAGCCGGCTGCGAGGAAGATCTCCCGGCGGCTGGCGGGATGGACCCGCGGCGGGGCGGTTCTCCCGGCCCGCTGCTGCCTCCGAGTCACCCAGGAAGTTCAACGCGTGACGCCCAGAGCCACGGAACGAGAGAGACGGAAAGCCGGGTTTCTTCCCCGGCGCCACCCAGAGCCCTCTGGCGGCGGCCGGAGACGAAGCTTCCTCCGCGGGCGGCCGAAGGGGCTTCTCTGGGAGGGCAGCGGTGGGGTGCGAGGAAGGCAAGACGTTACGCCAAGATTTCCAGCAAAAAGGCGGCCAGGTTTTGAAAAGCAAAGGAAAACCTCTGGCTTTCACACTAAATCATGGTTAGCTGAAGCACAGCATAAGTTAACCTAATTATCTGGGTTAGGTTAACCTATTAACCATCCTGATGGTTTAGGTTCGCATCGTACAATTACACCAAATTGTAAGTCGTTAACCACACCTTCAGCATCTCTAGTCTATGCAGGGTTAGATTTCAAGATGCATGGTGTAAGCATTGGGCAGCATAACAGATAACAGATAATCAGAGTTGGAAGGAATCTTGTAGGTCATCTAGTCCAACCCCCTGTCCAAGCAGGAGGCCCTACACCATTTCTGACAGATGGGAGTCCAATCTCTTCTTGAAAGTCATTCAAATTAATAAATTATTAATAATCATAGAAAGGGGTATTATAAGGAATATCTTCTAAGGATGGTGACATTTGTACTGTACAGTATTTTCACATACTCCTTCCATCTTTGTTTGATCTCCTTTGAACTTTGATCTGTCCATTAGCATCCTTTACTACGCCAATTTGTGGCTGTGACCTTCTGAGAACTTGTGGATAACTTTCCTTGGTTTTCCATGTCTGTTTTTTCAGTGTCTTTACAGATATTGTTCTAATACTGCTTGTCTTTGCTAACAGCTCTCTGAAATTCTATGGTCTTTGTCCTTAATTTTGACTTAGAAACTGGGAAACCATGAATTGCTCAGTTGGGGGAATAAAGCTGCCTGGGTCACTCTCTCTTAGGCCAATCTACCTAACAAGGTTGTTGTGGGGAAGAAAGGAGAGAGAACACAGCTTTCAGTAACATACAATTAAGGTGCACTATAAATATAGGAAATAAATAAAATTGATTTCATTTCACAGTGTCTCTGGTTTTCTATCAGTGAGGTTCAGCAATTGAACCAGTGTAAATACCCTTTCCTATTTGCTACAGCAAATACTATCACAGATCGTCCTCAACTTATGCCCACAATTGCTCCCAGAATTCTGTTGCTAAACAAGATGATGAAGTGACTCATGCCTAATTTATGACCTTTTTTGCCACAGTTATTAAGGAAATTGCTGCAGTTAAGTGAATTGTGCAGTCATTAAGTTGACAAAGCTGTTCAGATATGGCAGGGATGCAATGCCTAGGGTTCTAAGAGACAGGGCTGAAGCATTTGATGCTTTCCAGCCATAGTGGGAGGGGGGTGGAATTTTACTATGTTCACAAATAAGAAAGCTCACTCCTCTTTAATTTTCTCCCAGAAAAACTTTTGGTGAACTGAATAACAGGAAAAATAAGCAGAGAAGGCAAAATCCCCGCTTTGTCTTGTTTTATTCATTTCCCAAAATATGCTTGGATTTTAAAAAAATCTGGAATTTTAATTTCCATGTTACCTGAGGACAGAATGGGACAACTCAGTGTGGCCAACTTGCTTCAACCAAGTCACCATGGCCAACTCACCATGGGATAACTCACTACAGCCAACTTGCCACTGGACAACTCAACAATTCAGTTTAGTTATTTAAAATTATTAAAAAATATTTTCATCATTCACATTTAATCTTATCCTTCCTTTAGCATCCTTTCATGATTCTATTTCTTCAATATTAGTGTAACTCTTATCCCACAGCAAGTTGTCCTGCCGTAAGTTGTCCTAGACCCACCTGGGGATGCCCTGTCTCATCAAATGAAATTGTCAAGCTTGGAAGAATGTGTATTTGCAGATATGCACTTTAACCATGAGATGGCATGCATGTTTTACAGATTCCCTGGATGTAGTAGAAATAATTGGGATGCAGATGAAGGATCTAATCCTTGGTATACCATAAGGAATTCTGGGAACCTTTCCAGCAATTTGGTTTATAGTTTAGCCAAAGCACAGCTGCTAATTTATTGATTATGAGTCACAATAACATTAAGCAAATGCATCTTTATTTCAAACAGAAACAAATAGCTTTGCAGAATTCAAAACATGGAATTTCCAACAGCATTTTAAAGTATTATAGAGTACTGCAAGTACTTGTTTACTTTTAACATGCAGATTTGAAAGACTTTTGTGGGTTGATATGCATAGACATGTTTGAATGCTTATTCTTTGCAAAATGCCTTAGCTGCAATAAAGTATAATTTTTACGGCAAGGTACCATAAAACACAATAGCTATCAATAAAAGGATACAGTGCAATTATATCCAGAAAAGGTGAAAATTCCCTCATCAAACTTGTCTTTTAATGGCTGCATGGATGTCGTTTTCTTGGGAACATAATGGAAGCAGTTTGCCACCATATTTTTCTGGGATTTTTTTTTCTATTGAAGGGAATAGTAATAATAAAGAAATGTAGTAGAATATATTATAGAATTAAGTAGAGAGTTACTCAATAGGCATTTGTTATCTTGCTGTTGTTAAAAAGATTTCCTTAACCTTTCACTTGTTGTAAAACAATTAAACACCTGCCTGCAATCAGTTACATCCCTATTAAGACACATGATTGTCCCATCTAAATCAATCTGAATCCATCTGTTTTCCTGAATTGATACATTTTGCCCCAGCATCACCCCCTGGGAATGAAACGTACCTCTCTGGGAATGTAACTCCATTCAGAGGAATCCACATCTTTGAAGTATGCTGTTAATAGCCTCCTTAAGTGCTCAATTGTGATCAATTAGATGGACAATAGGCGAAGAGAT